TTTCTTAAGACATAAATTACTTAGGCATAAATGTAGAGGACATTTATGGTATCAATATAACGACTTGATGAGAAGCTTTGGCCGTAGATAAGGCGTATTGCTTCGGCAATAAAATATCTTCGTACTCGATAGTTTGACATAAAATTTAGTTTTATCTCTTTTTTTTACATAAGAATGTACAAATACAATTGTCTTTTAAAATATTGAGCTAAAATGAGCGCCAAAATCCTGATGCATTTTTTTGACAAAAAATTTAATACTATTTATTATATGTTTAATGTAGAATAATTTTAAAATATAGTTGTTAGTGTTATTAGTACATATACTACGTCTATAATTAAATCCACAAATCAATAGTTAGTTAGATAGTTTTCAAATTCAACTTTCCTAAAAATATGGTTGCTTACAGTTTTTATCTGTGTAAAGTTGTTGAAAATTTGCCATGATATGTATAATATGTACATATGTACCTACGTATATAACGTGTAGCGATCTTTTGGCTACGATCTATATTATTCCTTTGCTATTTTTTAACAAAACAAACAGGCGATACATGTTCAAATTAAGAAAAGCTCACATGAGACCTAATCTTTATCAACTTCTGAAACTACCCATAAATCAAACTATATTTCAACATGTTTGCGACTCGCCTCAATTTACAAACGAATGCATATGTAAACTACAGAAAAAAATCATTTAGAACTTGCTGTGATATCAAATATATCCATAAATGTTTCAAATTTTACATATTTCTTTCCACTCGCGCTTTCCACAACCATCATGATTACTTTTATAGGATTATATTTTGCAAAATACGAAGATCGTTACCGTAGCCGTTAATATTAGATGGTTATGAAAGGATAAAATGAGTCAATGTATTATTTATTGCACGAGTATATATAGATACTTAGGGATTGTAATTAATGGCCAATGGGTTGAATGCTATCAGCATTTAACACATTTATTATTCATTTACATTCTTACAATTTTCTTCTCATTTTTCTTTTTACAATTTTCTTCAAATGCTGCACATTTCTTAATTATTTTAGAGGTGACCATAAGGAAAGTTTATCCAAATTGAAATAACAACAAACTGCAATAAAGTTTATTCGTTGTAGGTCTTGTACTGTGATTGACATTTTTCTAGGCACAACATAAAAACTCTTGCTTACGGCATATTTTGATACTTTTCGAATTTATATTTTTTACTGCTTTTCCCCGTGAGTCGTTCGCCGGGAATAGTTTTGCTATCCCTTGGGAATCGTTTTTTTTTTCTGAATATACTCTAAATCGTTTCCCCTGGCGGTGTTTTTGCAAAAATTTCATGATGATTGGGTGAACAGGGTCGGCAACACAAAATACAAATAAACAAAAACTTATTTTTATACATAACAACTCTAGTGCGCACGAGATAAGACAAATAATACATCGGTACAATAGCGTGTTTACACGCTATGTAGCACCAGTACCTACAAATTATGCCTTCTTTGATATGCACGTGACCTATCATCGACCGTTTAAGAAGACTTGAATACTGTCCCGGGGGAAGTTTGAGGAAGATTGTTGGAAAATTCGGACGGACAGTGCCTCTTTAATAAGAAATTATGCAGCTGTAACGAACTAAATGAATTATATTTTTTGTCCTACAATACTTGTAGGACAAAAATATAATTCATTTAGTTCGTTACGTTAGTTAGTTCGTTACTACGACAAATAAATTTACTTTTTTATTCTTTGTAGAGATTTTCTTGCTTTCTAAAACAAGTATCAATACACAAATTTATTATTTTTATCATTTATATAGGGTGACTACCATTTTGAATTAAAAAGAATTAAACAGGTGCTACTAATCCAAATAAATGTAATAATTAGAAGTTAAACACAGTTACACAATGTAACGTATGTAACGTTACATTTTATTTGGCACTCGTCAAAATGCTTGGAGAGTTAAGTAAAATGTAAATTTAGTGACTAAGTTTAGTACCTACCATCAGCTATGTGTGATAAAAAACACAGCTTTGACCATGTAATTTGAAGCCAAGTAATTACTGAAATTGTCTGAAACAATTATTATCACTCACTCTAAATCACTACTGTATTACTTTGTTAAGGTATCCATTTGTGAAAAGAGAATAAACATTATTATTATATTACTCTTGATACCATTAATATTTATTTTTAAACCTAGTATCTGCAGTGGACATACTAAATCAATATATGTCGTTTATTAAATTAAATAAATAAATTTTCAGGAATGTTTATATTTCAATGATAGTAAAAGATATTTGTATATACGTTTAGTGAAATAAATATATATGTAGCTTATTTGCCTTGTTTTATTCCAATTAATAAGTGGCTGTGCAGTTTCACAATATACCTATATAGGATTCTTATAGCTCTGTGACAGATCTATCGCAGTACTAACAGGATACCCATTAAAACTATTACGGACCCTTGTCAGATACAAGTACACAAACGCAGTATACGTATGATTAGATAGAGATAGCATTCATGTATCCAAGGCTTTTAATAATACTCCTCATATACGAAGTACTAATATAATGATAGCAATTGTCACTGCCTGTTACCTGCACAACAAAAGCACGAGCCTGCGCAGTATTACACACAACTGCGTACGTATCTACTGATTGTCAGGTTCTTCCTGAACAAAATCACTTTTGTTCAAATTCCTCTAGACTAACTACCTACCTTTGGCTTCTTACGTAGAATATAATCTGGTTGACTGGTTGACTATTAATATCGTAAATTGAAAACGAAAAAGTTGTAAGAGCTGTTAATTTAGGTACTGAAATTCTAATACTTGAGTTTTTGTTTACAGTTGGAGTGCCTGCTTATGTATAAAAAATGTACTTACTCTTTGCTTTTTCCTTTTGATAGGTTAGCTCTATATTTAAAGTTTATAAATATAGTAGCATAGTGGTTAAAATTGGCAATTGCATTACATTATATTTACTAAGTTATCACTATATTATACATCGGTAGTTTATTAAATTATAATAATAATATTGATGTTACATTACAAGACATATTTGAGCTGCCATTTAAGGTGTGTATGGAGGCATTCAAACGTAATACATATCAGTACTACACTTTTTATGGTGTTTAAAGCCGTTATAAAGACTAAAACACTCAAACAACTTGTTTATATGACGAGTTGGAGTGTCATGCAGTGACTGAAATAGTAAATTCGTAGGGAAAGAAATTTAGCGAAATCATAATGGTTCAATAGCACTGCTATGTGCCCATAAAAGTATTCATACACGCATTAAGTAATAACATTTTATTTTCTACTGTGTTAATGTCGTCTCCTCGCCAGGCAAGTACCTACTCTCAAATAAGTGGGTTAAGAATCTCAATAGTGTGGTACAAGTTATAAGCAAACCTGTAATTACTATTTGTATTGTAGCAAACAGATATTATAATCCATGTTTATGCCTACAACAATGTCCTTGTTTGACATATATATTAGTGATTGCATAACAAACTGTGTTATCTGCAACATGCCCACGCGTTTCAAGATTGATTTAGGAGAACCATTTACTATGGGAATGGGATATGTGGTTCTTCTACAGATTCTTATTCGAACTGTTTTAAAATTGTATAAAATTATCAACGAAATAAATCGCTTCCCTGCTTATAATAATCGTTGTTTCCAACCATATTTTAGTTCATCTCGTTATTTTACAAAACTCTGGAAATGAGTGGTACCAACGCTGTCATCACCTGTTTACCGATAGCAAAATTGTTGTACTAATTGACATACAGTTATGTTACATTTAATAATGGCATTTGACGCTCGCCGTGTCTGAACTGTCAGATGGTGATCATTTAACTTAAGAAAAGTTTTAAATAAAATAAATTTTCACGCTCTTTTTGGAACGTGCTCAATAAAATTAAGAATGTTATATCAATGTATCATCCGTTGCTAAATTTGTAACCGCAATGATTTTTTAAATTAAGATTAAATTTAATTTTTATTTAAATAGGCGGCAATTTAACTATATTATATCACGAAAATTTACTTCTATCTACTTTGCCTAGAGTTAACAAAAAGAACGGTAAGAAAACAAAAAACTAATCTGTATAGAGAAATCATTTTTATCACCGCGCCGACCGAATTCATCTCTCAGATATTTTATATCTTCATATAAGTTCAGGCTCAGGCAACATATTACTTTCTTCGGGTAATGTGTAGCACAAAGCGCAACTAATGACCAAGCAACGTTCTCCCCGGAACTGTAAGCCCACGATTGTACTACAAAGGACTTACAGATCCTTCACGAAAAGAGTTGCTCCCTTTTTTCCTTTCAAAAGAAAAGGATAGCTCCAAATAATTGCAGAGGTTTTGACGTCGACTATCATTATGTTCAATTTATACGTACACTCGTACATGTACTTAAACACTGGCTTCACATACGTCCCGATAAATGGATTTTATTTAAGCATTTAGATCAACGTTAACTACAAAGTTGATATAAATGCTCCGACTCCTTTGAAATACATGATTTTGATATGATTTTGTTTTTTTTAATAGTGGTCTAAAAGGCAATTTCACTTAGCATATCCTTTTGAGTGCGCGAACGCTAATTTACTACATGTACTTGGATTCAACTAAAAAACAATATCACAAGATAAAATCTTGATGATGACTAGATAGAATGACTTTAAATACTAAGATGTAGTAAGAGGTGAGTTGTCAAAATCATAAAAATACTACTAAAATACTAGAGGGAAAGATTTATTCCCCTGTCCGAGTAACGAACAGAACGAACAGAAAGAGAAAAGATACCAAGTAGACTGTATATCTTACCTTTAATATTGACAACTGAAGTGCAACGATTCAAGAAGTTCTTTTATTATTTCACAATAATGTTGCTGTCATTTACTAAAAGCAGTTAAGACCTAGATAGGATTGTGTGTACACTGGTATGGCTTAATACCAACTGGAGAAACGGGTTTTATCACCAACGTTCTATCTCTCATGGATCGAGACGCAGCTTAGCAATAAGACCTGTTTACAAAAATAGGGCTTTCTCATTACTTAAACCATTGTAAAACAGAGGCTCTTAGACGATACGACACTGAAATTTTCTTTGTATAGGCCAATCAATTTGATACAGTTTGATTCACAGATTCTAGTAAAGCTATGTGTATTTTAATCATCAAAAGAGACGGATGAATTTTTAACACATAAAGTTATGCTAAATCTCTACTCCTAATACTACTACATTCGTGTGGTGACGGAAGTAAAAATATGAAATGTCACCACCTCTATTTATCCCGTGGATAAATTACAACAGCACTGTAAAGAGCCAGCGTGTTATAGTAGGCCAAAACCTCCTTTCTGAGGACTGGCCTATGTCCAGCAGTGGAATATTAAAGGCTGTTGATGTGATGGTCTAAAAATTTCGCGGGTGTTGGTATAATAATTTTAACTTACGAGCGAAATGTGGAATCGTTAAGGTATCGAATCTGTAAATGGCTCTATATCGTAACTGTTGCCCTGGGTTACCGAGCTCAAACTGATAAGTGGATCGTTGAACTAAACCGAGATTATGACGTAACATCTGTAATTTTTATGAGCCTTATGCACGCTCGCGAAACCAAATATTAAAACCGCGTCGCACACCACTTGGAAAAGTTTGTTTCAGTTTCCCTAAAAGCTACTTAGAATTTCATCGAAGTCTTTCTTCCATCAAAAAGGAGGACTAAATCATACTAAATTCCTCATAGCGTAGCGCAATGATGGAAACCTAATTTAGACCTTATTTCTGTACAAGAAGAACCGTAAAGTAGTGTTTCGGGTCAATAAACTAGATATCGATGTATGTGGTTCTCCGAGCTAGGGTGCACCATATGGTCGATTAGGAGAACATAACACATGGGCTTTACCGACTTTTGCGATAAATGAGTTATTGCAATAAAATTTATGGTGAGTTTGTAAAACATTCCACAGGAATATTTATTTTATACTAGCTTTTGCTCGCGGCTCCGCCCACGTGTAGATCAACTATCGCGGTATCGCGTGTTATAGCTTACAAGTCCTTTCTCAAGAATCAAAGTATCACCCTATTAAATTCATTTCATTCCCTTCCACCCCCTTAAAAGATGATTTCTGGGATAAAAACTGTCCTGTCCTTTCCCAAGACTCAAATTTTCCTCTATACCAAATTAACCGGTTCCAACCAACTAAATTGGTTCAGCGGTTTAAGTTTGAAGAGGTAACGGAGAGACTACTTTCAAATTATAATATTAGTATGGATTCTTCCTTCTCTTTGCTTTGTATACAATATTTACTGCACGGATGGCGTAATGGTTTAAGCGGTCGCCACGCTTCTTACTGTTACGCTGAGTGTTGTGGGTCCGATCCTAACATGGACGACACTTTGTGTGACGCGCAAATTGGTGTTCTGAGTCTGGGTTCTTTGTCTATGTTTCATGTATGTTTGTATAGTCTCCCGCGACCCACGATATATTCCTATGCAGTACTTTCAAAAAAATTATAATATCATCAGCCTCTAATAATCCACTGCTGAACATAGACCTCTCCTTAGAAAGGAGTTTTTAGCTGACGAACTGGTGGGCATAACATTTGTTTAAAGTTTTCCTTCTCTTGGCAGTGATGTTGACCTGTATGGTTGGCTCCCAATAAGGGTGGGTACAGTCCATATTCTTAATCTGTCACCAAACAGACATTAATAATGGACAGTGTATAATTTTAAATGTATGTAACATCAACAATTGTAATGGAGAGAAAATTAAAATGAAACAATGAAATCAGGAGAGAAAGTTTGACTTTGTTAAAATAAGTAAAACTTTTTTCATGGAAGTTTAGCTTGAATTATGAAAACTTTGTATAGAAAACTAATTAAAATGATTCATTTGAAGAGATTTTCAAATAGTTTTAAAGCACTTAAATTATTTATTTTACATGCCTACAGTATATGTTTTTATACAGACATGGATGGAAATCTACATTTTGGTATTACAACAGGCAGTTTAATCACTCGCGGCGATCTCTTACAGACAACCTTTGTGTATCAAATTTGACGGTTGTGAATAACAGGTAAAAAAATTATATGAGTACTTATTTGGACTTTTCCTCAATGTGCTCAACATACAGTATCTCTTAGTAGCATCCTCAATGATTGATAATTGTCCTGTCTTTTTGTTCTGTTTATGTTCTTGCATTTGCATTACAATTTGTCCTCGCACAATTAGAGGCCCTATTAGTAACATTATAATGAAACATCAACATTGCAACACCAACATTGAATGTTAAAAAAATATTACCGATAAATAATGGTCAAAAAAATTTGGTTGATTATAATCAAACTTAAAAAAAATCTGATTAATCACTATAGATTTAAATTGGCAAAGTAAAAGGTAATTGAATTTTAAAAGTTAAGATATTGTGTTTATATAATTGTTGTTTGAAAAATAATAAATAAACAATAAATAGATACTCACCAATAAACTTCGATTGTGTTAAGTAGAGAATATAATGTCTTCTTGTTTCCATTCCCTTCTTTAGTAACTTAAAGTCCATAGCGCATTTAAAACTATTTTAACAAACTTATTTAGGCCTAAACAAATATACATTTTAGTATAGAATAACAATCAATGATTGTACTTTGTTACTACAGAGAATGGATATGAAATTTTCAATTAACATTTAACATAAGTTATGAACCCTAATAATAACAAAAAAGAATTAAATAACCTCAGATACTAGCCTAACTTGTGTTATCAAAAAACCTGTCTTGGACAAAACTCTATCATAACTTTGTACAAACAATGAACATGTAGTCACCAAGCAGACGACAATACGTAAACAAGCGATCGTTTTACTAAAAACAAACCACTAAACAGCGTATAGATAAGAGGTGAGATTCCTAACTTATTTTGAAATTAAAATTACATCTGGAAATTGTACCTACATTGCGTAAAATTCACATTTCACTGTTAAGTTTCGGTTATCTCACTATGACCGATTGATAAAATGTATTATTCTAGGTACATGTCTTTTTTAAGAAATTTTAGAATTGACAGGTACAACAAATATCTCCCACTGCATCACTGCATTTGGTACAACTCTGCGCCATATTTGCAAAGTAGTTAAGTGTGCTGCCAATTTCAAAATATGAATATACCAAAAATATATAAAATTATGCTAAAATTTTTAGATTACAACCTTTTTGAGATATTCAAATTTTCGTAATAAAAATACTATTTACGATTAATGCTGAATTTTAAACAATTTTTTAGGATTACGCATAAAAATCTATGTTCTTAAAGTGTTTCAAGTGGTAACACTTTTCAGTGGAACTGTCACACAATAGTGATTGAAAAGTCAAATATTGAATAGATTGTTAATTTTCAAGAATCGACTAATTGAAAAACACTGAAAAAATGAGAGGACAAAGTGGGACTGGGAGAGGTTTAGAACTACTAAGTCAACCAACCTACCAAGTCCAGGAAGGGCACCAAGTACCGCAGGCAGCTTGAGCGCTGGAGGTCGCTGCATGATCTCCGTCCTCCATAAGTGCAGGCCTGGGGGGTGGTGCCTTTAGAGTAGGAGGAAAAAACCAAGGCCAGGGCCAAGGAGAGGGCCATCTGCCGTAGATGACTCGGGGTCCGTCGGGATACCATTGGTTTCTTTCTTAGGTTACACCTGGTTCCCCGGTTACTACCCGAGACGATGTGCTCTTTTGAAGTCAGCGCTAACTCACGTCCTATCAAACCATCCTTCCGGGTGCCCCTCGGCAGCCAGAAGGATGGTTTGATTCACTACTCAACCGGATCATTAAACCTAAAGTCGATCATTGAATTTTATCGTTAGTCTGCCCAGACTCAAAATTTTCAGCTAACTTTCTCCCGTGCCTTCTAGGGACATCAAAAAGAATCATCATGTTTGTATGTTTGTAAGCTGTAGAAATGATAGTTAAGATCCTGGATTACGTCCTTGAAGTTATAGCCGACATTATTGACTTCTTTCTCACCTCTGAAAACTTTTTCCCTCTCTGGCACAAAGCCTACATTATCCCATTGCCTAAAATTAATAATCCTTCTCTTCCTGAGCATTTTTACTCAATCCCTATACTTGCTTTCTTATCAAACGTTCTTGAGGTATTTTAGGCACTGTTTTTTCTCATAGTTCATCTTTCAACAGCATTTTCTCAGTCCTCTACAATCTATCTATTACTACAGAATCACCAAAACAATCCACTTGCCACTAAAAGCAAAATATCGCCCCTAAAAGGAGAGTTGAAACCACGAGTTTAAGTCAATATCCACTAGGTTGGCAACACTGAATGCGACATGCGATAGAATTACAAAAAAAAAAATTAAGGCGAAGTAAGAAAACATTCACTGAAAAAAAATTTTCCTAATTTTGCCTCCATAGACTCCAGCCTAGTCAGCCTGCTACTAAATCCGCCGCTACTGCTAAAACCGCTGCAACTAAAACTTTTTAAATCAGAGTCAAGAAAATTTTGGATTTTTTTAACATGTCTTTTATAATCACAATCACAACAGTTTTGGCGTTAGTCGATTTTATGTAATATAGTTGATTTGAGTATGACACTATAATGAAAAGAATCGATTTTGTCATTTTTTTTTTGTCTATACATACACATACTACAGTACTATACACATATTGATTGAGATCTCAAAACGCCGAGGAACTGTAGTTCTGCACATTTGTGTGTATTTTTTATTTATATTCCATTTTATCAAGTGTTTATTCTAATGAACTACTTTTTTCTTTTTGTGTAATGGGTAAGTAAATGATTTGAATGAACTGGTTTATTTATCACACTTTTTTTCTTAATTTTACGACAGTTGTTTAATTTTTTTTTCAGAAAATATGGGCAAACATCGTCAGAATTTAAATGATTTTTCTGGAAGAAGCAGAACTACAACAATATTCTGAATTGTTTAGGTAATTATGACGTTGATAGCGTGTCCATATCGTGTTTAAGAGAAATATTGATAGTGCTGTGTTGTATGTAGCCTTTTTATGTTTTCGAAAGCTTGTTTGTGTTCAGTTTATCTGTGCTCTAACTTATACTGTCTATGCGAATGTATTTTCAGTTATGCTGCTGCTCAATGCGATTGTTTTAGCACCTATAAAGCCATGCACATTGTGTTTTAACTTACAATTTTGTTACTATGACCAAAATGTCTCCCACATAGTCTATAAGTGCAGTTTGGACATAGATTGGACATTGAATACAATTTTGCTGTGCATGTCCTCTCTTTTTATAAGTAAGCTTTTTGAAGTAGCATGGTCAGAGATTAAGATGAGTATATAATGCTGCATACCGTAGTAATGCTTAGTATTATCTGAAGTCTGCCCAAGTGCAAAGCTATGTATGTAATATAAATATTGTGATGGAGATTGGTTTCTTACTGTGACAGATTATAGTTTTGTAAAAAATCTGCTTTTACAGTTACAGTAAAAGTTGGTTTTTAAAATCACTTCTTAAAATTATCACATCTGTACACACATTAGCCGAATTTGTTGGATTGCATACTCCTATATGAGTGCCGGGAGTCATAGTATGAAAACACCAATGATGTAGTTTCTACTTGCAATACCATTGAAATACTATTTATAGATGTTAGAATAACAAAAACTGTTATTAAAATCCTAAAGAATCATTTAACACAAAAAATTTCTTTGTCCAGTACAGCCATGGTATTGATATTACAATATACCTATTACATATTTAAAGCTTTGTATAGTATTCACCAATTGGTGGTGGTGGTTTAGAATTCTGAACCAAACACAATTTAAAAAAAATTAAACTCATACATTTTTTTTGGTTTTAATTTTTGTTCTGAAATGCTTTTTTAGTGTACCTACCAGTGATTCATTGTAATATTTGCATAAATTATTTGTTAAATTTAATGTTCCTGTGTATGGGTACATAGCAATTTAATACATAAATGCAAGTACTTTATTCAGATTAATGCAATAATTTCATGTAGAACTAATTAAATACATTGGGGTGTATTTGGAAAATAGACTGAAGTTCAAATCAATGTATTACCCATTCTTCTTGTTGCACTCCAAATACGATACTTGTAGAGATTCTCATAATAAAGTGAATGAAAACAAATCAAACTTCATCTTTATAATGTCATTATAGAATATAGGTAATCCAAGGTTGAAAAAAAACTTATAAATATTTTGTATTTGACGTTTCACACATTATAAGCTCATTTTTAAGTAATGCTATTATTTTTGACCAGTTTCAATCGCCTTTGAGTTCTCTATTGAATTCCTTGCTTACAATATAAAACATTCTGAATAAATTTGAAACCATTTCTAGTAATTGACTGAATGGGTGGCGTAGTGGTTTAAGCGGTCACCTCGCCACTTTCTACTGCGCTGAGTGTTGTGGGTCCGATCCCCACATGGAACAACACTTTGTGTGATCTACAAATTGTCGTTATGAGTCTGGGTGTTCTTTGTGTCCGTTTCATGGATGTTTGTAAAGTCTTCTGCGACAGGAATATATTCTTAATGCGGGAGTTGTCTTTTTAAAAGAAAACAAGGAATTTCCCTCCAAACCTGTATACAGAGGTTTACTGTCCCAGTACTGTAAGCTCTCCATTAATAATAATTTACATTTATTTGCGAATATGGGTACAATAGTAAAGTTGTTACAAAGATTATGTTTGTTCCTTCATATTCTACCATGTGGCATGCAAATATTCCAAGATACTTTATTATATTACAATTTCACTAAAACATTTCAAACATAATCTAAACATAATTCGTAAGTCTCATCCATATAAAATTACATGAAAAAAGATAATGTCAAAAATTTGTGTCAAAAAAATAACAAACAATTATGATGTCAATTAAATAGTAGATCATGAGTCAAATTAACTAGATTGCAGTAGATAGAATTTAGAATCAAAAAGCATATTGATTATGTTAGATATTTGTATTCCAAGTATTCACTGTAGTATATTTTTGTCGTAATAAAATCTTTAATTTCAATTTAAATTCACTTAAGCTATCCAATTTACATATATATTACACAGGAAGTTTGTTGTAAATCCTAGACGTCATACAAAATATGCTTCTATTTACAAGCTATGTTTTATTAGGCATCGTTTTTATTTTATATTCACGGTGACGGCCATTTAAATGAGTGAATAAGTTCATTTTTTTTCCCAAACATAACTACCTCCAATATATACATGCATGGAAGAGTGAGTAAATTAAGACTTAAAAAATTGGTTTACAGCTGTCCGTAGTCTTAGGTCTATAAATGACTCTAATACATTGCTTTGGTGCTTTAAAAACATACTCCCAGTTAGTAGAGTTTCCCCAAAAGATTATACCATAGCACATTAATGATTCTGCATATGCATGACATGCTGTTACAACCGTAGATGTATTAGCTGTTTTTGATAACATGTACAGAGCATGCGAGCTTTTACTAAGTTTAGAGCATAGTTTTTCAATGTGTAGGTACTTTCCAATTTAGGTTGCATTTAACATCCAGACCAAAGAACCTTGCAAAGTCAACCCTCTTTTATTTGTTTACCTGAAGAACTCGATTTCAAAATCCAAAGCAGGTCTAGTTCTTAAATAGCATTAAACTGGATTTTTCCAAATTAATAATTAGGTTATTGCTTGTTAGCCAATCAACTATACTTGTTAGGTTTTTCGGTTATGCTGTGTTTCAGTTTATTATGATTTTTATCAGAATAAATGACAGTGTATCATCAGCGAAAAAGAATCATCGGAGAGGTAACAGCTCCTGGGAATCGTTGATATAAATTAGAAACCACAGGGGTCCCAAGACGCTTCCCTGAGGAACACCGTAGTTTTTTATAATACTGTAAGACTCTCGAGAAATAGATTATGAGAGTTGGTCAAATTTGCCAAGTTTTGAGATATTCACTATCAAGATATAATTTAAGAAATGGGCCTTATGTATAACCATATGTTATGAAATCATAGACAGCAGAGAATTTATTAAAGAGAACTATGTAAAAAATTAAATAAAAAACTAATATTTTACTGTCTGCTTCCACTTGCATAGAAATTATATTTAGAAGTAATATAATTCCATCAACATCATCAACAGCCTATACTAATCCACTGCTGGACATAGGCCTCTCCTTAGAAAGGAGGTTTTGGCCTACTATGTAATTAAAAGCATTAAAAAAAAAAAGCATTATTAGTATTATTATAAGAGCCACTGAATTAAAAGGAAGAAGAAGAATATATGTAATTAAAATCCAAGTATTGGTTAGTTATGTTATCAGCGTGATCGTTGTTAATATAATAATTGTATTGGTCTTAATAGTTAAAATGTTGCAATACTTTAATATACAGTAACATTGGCAAAGGGAATTGTCCTCTCAGTATTTACACACTAATATAAACAGTTAGTAACAGCTACTTGCATTTAAACAGCCTTAAAACATGTAATGATACACTACCGAGGAAGGGATTATGTTGAATAAGCATTATTGAAAATTTCAAACCATATTAACAGAAGTGATTTATGAATATATGATAAAAAAGAAAAATAAACAGAAAAGCATGTGAATAAAAAGTCTATTATACTATATAATAGGTCTTTTACACATACTTTTCTGTTTATTTTTTCTTTTCTTTTTCTTCTGTTTATTTTTCTTTATTCACAAAACTTTTCTGTTTATTTTCTTTCCAACTTGATCATCAATATTTCAAACATACCAAAACAACGTTTTATGTTTATTTATTGTTTTATACAATCAAATTTTTATACCCCTTTATGAAATTGTATGCATAAATATAATTTATTCATTTTACTTTGTGGTGGATGTTTATGAAGAGGCCTTATCAAAAGATTTTTTTTTAAAACTAATCATACGCTTGCTACTTTGACTGTGCAACTAAAGAGCCTTTTTTCCTCCAACTTAGATGTCTTGAACTTAGATGTAAAGAATACGGAGATGTACTGCTTTTTACTTTTACTGATCAGAGTATACATATGTTCTTAACGTGTCATGGCAGCAAGCGTTCACTAACGTCAAGGATATACAGTTCTACGCTCGTAATTGAGTGTAACTGGATAGCTAGGCGAAACTTTTTGTTCATTGATTTATCATACATTTTTTGAGTTCTGCTTTTCAAGAAGGAACTTACTTTTCTCTCTATTCGCGGTTAATCTCCATTAATGATCGAATGCCGCAATTGTGACTAACATTGCAATTCAAAACTGGCATCTTACGTGTTATAAAACATGTTAGAATCAATCGACTGCAAAGAAAAGAATATTGTGGTGTTAATTTTCATCGGTAGGTAAATAAACAAAAACATTAAATAAACTAATTTCGTATCAAGTAAATCGAAACTAACTTTTATAATACATTATGTTCTCCTTAATTGTGATTGAAAATCATAGAGTATGAAAAGTAAACAGTTCAGATTTGACACGCAGGTACTAAATCTTTGTTGAACTATTTGACTAAAATGTTAGAATTAGTTAGCGCAAGCTCATTTACTATGAAAAGAAATCTGCTATACCACATTGTGTAGATGTGAGTAAGAAGAATTTACATCTTTAATTGAACTCTCCTATCTTACTCTCCTATGAGAATGTAACCTGCCCCGCTGGCCCCGCGGGAGTCCCACTGTCATCAAGTTGCGCGCTAACTTTTGCTCGAAATGACTTTTCTAGTCGTAGTACATTATAACTCAATATTTTCCTCACATATTAGCATCTTTAAGCTGTGATTAAATGAGATCAGAAGTAGTATTAGGATATCTGCTCTTCATGTAAAGTGGGATGCTTTTCTTTTTTTTGACATGGTGACACAGACTTAACAGGATAACGAGTAATAGTTAACTAACCTATACAATATATTAAACGTTGTGAATTCCTTAGATGAGGTAGGTATTTTCGTAGGTATTTGTTTACACAAAGGCAATATCCTAATGTTCACTTCCTGGTTTACAACCAGGAAGTGAACATTAGGATATTGCCTTTGCATTGGAGAAATCAAATCATAACGTCCCATTTTTATGATTGTAATGTTTCAGATTAAGGATGCAAGGTTCATTCTCAATATATTCCAGAAAACTAAATAATTTTGTTCGAACATTTACCCAACTCATTTTGACGTCGAGAATTTTCTGAGCACACCATCTATTGCATCTGTCGGTCCAACACAAGATAAACAAACGTTACCAAACGCGCACAAGTACCTATAACAATAAATCTTAAATATTTGCGGTAGACATCCACTGATCTGTGGTAGGAACCCACAACCCGACTGGCTGGACGACACTTACAGTCGGCGCGTAACAGCCAAACCCCATCCCCATTTAGGCTTGCGGACATTTGCTGAGATTTGAAAAGTGTGTTTAATTAAAATAAATAAAAATTTACCATTAGACAAGTTCTTTAAGTTAAGTCGAAATTACTGTCATTTCTTATAATCTTAAATATACAGGATTTCAGATTATATTGATATCTGCTTTTAATTTAATTATGTTTTCGTGTGTCATTTATGTCATTTTTTGTAATAAAAATCTTGTCATATGCTATTCAGTTAATTTCTGACTTACCTTTAAAATAAATTTTTGTTATTGTTACAGAGATGTATTAAAAATTTCAAAAGTGTCACAGTTGAAGTTTGTAGTGACTGAAGATTTAGATCAAATTGGCCTGTCTAAACCGGAACAAAGGCGTTACAAGAAGATATTTTCGAAGTATTTCCCAAACCCATATATTTACAAGTTGAGGAAGTTATTGAGCTCACACAAGAAACATGAACCCGTGAGTGATTTCAAATATTTAATTTGATTGTTTTTTTTACCCTCCATTGCAGATTTCCGTACCTCGTTGTACTTCCACAGTAGTTTGAGAAAACAGTATCCCCTGCAATTGATGTGTGAGAATTTCCGTTTATCTAGAGGTCTGAAAATTGATATAACCAAGAAAAAAGGCAAAGATAGAGAGTGGTCTATAAACAACGGCACCGCTGATGTGCAATAAATATACTTCATAAAAATATTGTCATAAGCAACTTACAATAATTTACATGAAAATGCTTTTGGTGGGATTATAGTTGATTCTGATCTTTATGAACTGGAGTGAAGCCAGCAATATTATTGTAAACATCATAGGTAGACAACAGCTTTTATTTTATTTAACCCAGTCTGGAGATTTGTATAAGATAGCATAGAAATAACTGGATGGCTGCTGATATTTTTATATACATGTGTGTAATTGCTCTGTTCCACAGTAGCTATATCATTCAAACCGTTTTGTCTCAAAGAAACATATATTTTCATTTCAGTATTCGCAAGGACACACATCCATTCCAATGGATTTTCAAACCGTTTAACGGACAACAACGTGAAAGTCCCTACAAAACACATAATATGTATCGAAGACATAACTATTAACAAAGAGTTGGGGAAAGGTCAGTTTGGTGTGGTGCAACAAGGCACATGGAGTACAGGGAACCAAAGAGTAAGGACCAGATAATGTTTACATATAAATAATTTATTAGGCGCAGAAGCGGTTTAAAAAATTTAATACATCTCTCAAGGTGACGGTAACATCAAGCTAATTCATCAGTATTACACTTAACTATAAATCATTCAACGTGTAATTATTACACGATCAGATACACCAGTCTCTATCCATGGATATGTATTATGTGAATTACTTGTATACCTATCTTTATAATACGCATTACACAGGGTTATAATTGCAGCTGTTTTGCACTTAGATGTATGTAATGATGGTTCCAGTCAGTGCGGATCTTATCCATGGGAATGCTACAATGCGTTTTACTTATCAATGTTGTTGTGTTAGTGTTAGTGTTTTCATTTTTAGAGCGATTCTGCAAAACATGAAGATCTTTAGAATTACGTACGTAATTAATTACGTACAATTGTTAGTAAGTAATTTGATTCCTGGGCCTAATCGCACGGTAAAAGATTTCGTGGATAAATAGACTACATGTGACAAACATAATAAAGAACTAATAGCGCAGTAATATCTCAAATGTTACTTGTCTATCGGTGTAAACGAATTTATAAACCCGTACCGTGCTCTTTCCCGAGTAGGTATAGGGAAAGCACACAATTATACCTTAAGACAAAACCCCTTAAAAGCTCTGCAAATGGCATACTCCTTCTTGGTTTTCAGACTGAAACACACGTCTTGACTTCTCCCGTATTATCTTTCTGAACTGGAGAAACCACCTTTCAGAATATCCTTCTCTTTAAGCTTTTAAAACGCCATTATCATATATATGTTACGTATTTATTGTCACAAACGTGTTCGTGTATACGCATCGTACGTTAAACACACTGTTCGCTGTTTAAAAGTTATGTTGTAATCCATTTTTATAAGAAAGACATATTTATATTTCAGCTGCAAGTTGCTATTAAATGCTTGGGCCAGGAGCGCATGACGTCAAATTCGGCCGAATTCTTAAAGGAAGCGGCTGTAATGCACAGTATTGAACACCCAAATATCGTACGCTTATATGGAGTTGTGTTGCATTCTGATTCACTGATGCTGGTAAGATATTATATTTTATATGTTAGTAATAATAAATTTAGTTTAAACTCTATAATGAGGACATTGCATATATAAACAGTGTTAAATGACTAATTCAAAACTCTTATAATATTATTATATTTTTTTCTAGTCAGATTGAATTAGCTGAAAGAGAAACCTAGAGTCTACTTTGTCTGAAAATAGTTCTCATGCCAATACCGATACTCTAGCAATATTATAGGTAATAACACTCATAACAATATAGACACACTATGACACGATCTATTATCACCGAGAGGGAGAAAGCCCTCCGTCGCGTGTTCGTTGTATTCGACTGTCCTAGCAATAAGGCGGGACATAACACTATATATCGCAATCGTGATGAAAACCCCAGCACTTTCACCATTTGAGGAGGACCGAAGTGACACGGCCTCAGAAAAACCACTGTTAGACCTTTCTTTCGCTGTTTTTCATTGAGAGAATGAGGTTACCGAACCTTAAACTTGTCCTCCCCCCGATTAAACGGCCTTGTATATCTTGAGTTGCATACCATCAAGCTTACCCGTCTGCTCGTTTGCCTATCTATCACTGTTTTATCAAAATTATTCCACACCATACAGTGACGGAAAATCTTTCTCACGTCTCAGTTGTCTAAAAAAAGTCTGCTGTTAGGAGTATATAATCCGAATTCAAAAAACTTATTGCACGAGATTATATTATGTTACGCTCATCAAATTACTAAATAACCAAATGTAATGCGTTCGCAATACATTACATGAAAATTCAATTCAATCATTATAGTAATTTTAGGAATATAAACATTTTGGTTATTTTTTTTATTCTAGCTAATCAAAAGTACTGGCCCAAATTATCTATACAGATTAATACAATTTTGCCAATTTTGATAACAGTTTGTTTATCCCTTTACTGTAGAAGTCTGCTGACGGGGCAGTGATGAAGTCAGCGAAAGCGTTTTTTACTGTCTCTCGGGTGTTAAACTTTTCCCGCTCAAAAAATTGCTAAAGTTTTGGAAATAATAGAAATCTGTTGGCTCAAGGCCCGTGAGAACTGTGGGTAACGGAGAGCTTCCATCTGTAACTCTTATAGCTTTGCGATGTTCTGTCGTGGAGTGTCTGCTCGCGCGTTGTTGTAATCAAGCAATGGGGAAGAGCGATTAATCAGTCGTGGTTGTTTAATTGCGCGCTTCTTCATCATTGCTTGCAATTTTTTGCTAATAGACTCCTCCGTAACTGTTGTGCCATTCGGTAAGAAGCTGTGATGTACAAGTCCGGCGCTGGGTCACCAGACAGTCCCCCATCATCTTCCTATGGGGGTTTCTTTTTCTTAGGGGCACGCGAGACGAACGCTTACGGTTATCGTCCAGGATGGCGCTTAGTTCGTATGGGCACCCACTTATCTAACTTTTTAGGTTTCCGATTTAAACGCAAGTGCTTCAATATTGTTTTGACCCCTGCCGTGAGGCTCGTTTTTCAACTCAAAATTGCCAGATCTAAACAGTTGAACCAATAATGGACCGTGTTTATGCAAGCAGTGTTAGGGCCCGTACACGTCGTTAATGTCTCGTGTTTGTTTGCGCAGCATATTTCTACGTAGGAACAGATATTCGATAATTGCACTTTCAGTTTATCTATGGCGCCAAAAACTACCACAATTTAACAAAACAAAACACTATCTAAAACAAATGACTCAATTTAAAATTAAAATAACATGGCTTTCGAATAACATTTATTTAAATTTTGAATTGCACACCCAATCCACAATAATTAAATCTGAAAATCTTGGTTAAAAATCGCCAACTTCATAGGTAAGAGCTATTTTTTTGATTATTAAAAAATGTATAGAGTCTTTATTCTTATTGTGGTGTAATTGGTGTAAAATACCAGCATATTCTATCTAAAATATCTTCTATCTATTACTTAAATAACAATTATGAAAATTCTCAAATTTTTAAATAATTATCTGTATTCAGCAACGCAAATAGTCAATCAGTGAAGGCCTTGCAAATATCTTCAAAAATTATTGAAATTGTCATCTGACATACATGTATCTTATCGGTCTTTTACATTTTTGTCATTTATTACAATTTCAACACATAAATTAACTTTGTACGTTCTTATCCTCTAGGTAACGGAGCTGGCTCCACTCCGGTCGCTTCTAGAAGCCTCCGTGAAGTGTCGCTTCGGTCCAACTTTCTCGTACCTAGCCTCTGCGAAATTCGCGGAGCAAAAATGTAACGGAATGAATTACTTAGAAAACAAAAGACTGAAACCCTAGGTAGTTCCACATTCAAATCCTATTTTTTAATCCCAGTGAAAAATATTGAAACATTTCAGGGTATACAGGATAGGATCTAAACCAAAGACTATTTCTACCTCTCACGGATTATATAGATAATCAAAGAATGTTTAGGAAAACCAACGGAGTAAAATACTCATCACATTAGCATCCTTGTTCTTTCCTTAGACTCTAGTATGATTATGTAAATACATATATAAAATCGAATAACGTAGTGGTTTGTGCAACGGATTGCCACGCCAAAGATCGGGGGTTTTCAATCCAGCTCAAGTCAAACATTTTTGTGCATGAACCTTTAATGTTTGATTTGGTCTGGGTGTTTTCTATGTATATAGTATGTTACAAAAAAGTATATATATGTATGTATTTATATCAGCTGTACTAACCCCATAGAAACAGCTCTGCTTAGTTTGGGATGGATAGCTTTGTGTGAAAGTTTTTAGCATATTATTATATATAATATAAAAATATAATCTTTTAGAGATACATACAATATCGCTAAAAAGCGTTTGCTCTTCCACGCGTTATATACCGTCCTACCTTCTAAAATTTGGGTTTTTTTTATCCTTTGGGAGCAATTACTTTTTTCAAGGTGAAGCATTATATAAACTATTGTGGACCCCCTATATTTTAATTAAAGTGTAGGTGCAATATTACATAGTCATGGGATGATAGTTAGGGCGTGAAAGCAAAAGTAACAAAGTGGTGTTCACATTTTGAATATTATTAGTTTTTCCCGCGCCCCTCTATAGATGATAACCTTGCTGCGGGCGGTGGTCAAAACTGTTTTTCAAACTCTCAGGTAGTAATGGAACGTAAAAGTCAAGGTATAAAATTTACCTTTGGACCATTTTAAGCCGTCTTTCTAAAATATCCCACTATCAGACGAGGGCTGCTATTTATTTTTATTATTTTATTTTAAACTTAATGCACATATTGTAAAAAAAGCGGACTTAATGCATTAGGCATCTCTCCCAGTCAACCTTCAGGTGATGTAGAAATATGATGCGGTAGGTGCAAAATAAAATATGATTTAACAAACATTATGTATCAGGAATAACAAAATGAAACAAACATATAGCATTTGTTATAGTTTTATTGCTTTTCAAAAGATCGATGCACTTTTGCATACGTTGGAACCACTTAACGTAGCACTTTTTTCCATTCTGATTGTGGTATCTCCAAATTTTAAAAGCATCAATAGATTCTTGACGGCTCGAAAACGTTGACCACGTAATTTATTTTTTCACAATTGGGAATAATAGAAGTCGTTGGGGGGCAAAATCAGGGCTGTATAAGGCGGATGACCCGTAATTCGATCTTTTGTTCTTCCAAATCTGAGTTGTTCGGCCGATGTGTGGCAGCTAGCATTGTCATTTTAAGAAGGATTCGCGTTGGGGGGTTATTCTTTTTTTTTCCCTTTAAAAAACTTCTGGCAAACAAATGGTCGTGTACTTTTTAAAATTAAAACCGTTTTCACCCCTCAGTGGCACTGAAACCACATTCCATTAATACAAAAGGGAAAAAAAGCGCCCCATTTGCTTAAAAGTTTTTTTGGAACGAAGGGATTTTTTTGGGTTCGGCTCTTTCTTAAAAGCCCCAAAAACCGGGTTGATTTTTGTTTATTTTTCAGGTCATACGATATATAACCCATTCATCCCCTGTGTAGATAAGGTTTTAAAAACTTTTGATGCACCCTGATTTTAAATTTGTAACATTTTTTTTATACCAATTCTTAAAATTGTGGCCCCATCCAAACGTGAAATAATTTTTTTTTCACAAAAAGTTCGTTTTAAAAAATTTATATACTCGTTTTAACTTTTTCCCGAGGGGGCGCCCTATTTTTCGCGATATGTAACGGGCGATGGGCTATCTTTGCTCCCCCGGGACCGCAACTTTCAAAATGAAAAAAAATGCCACAAAGGGGTAAACAAAAAGACAGCATTTAAAATTAAATAGTATTGTTTTCGGTGTATTTTTAGACCTATTAAAATATTTTTTACATTATTTTGGGTAATATGAACTTTAAGAATGATAATTTTAAAAACTTAGAGTAATATTTTAATTTAAAAAAATTTTTTAGTGTACAATTAAATAATTAAATAAAATTTTTACCGAAAAAATTGAAAAAACTGACTGGTAATTTTTTTTGCCTTTTTGGGGGTTTTCGTGTGGTACTGAAAAAAATATTTAAATGGGGGGTTTAAAAACAGGGGAAAGGAATTGGGATGGCCTATGTCCAGGGAGGGCCCGCGTTTTGGCTGTGTGTCATGAAAAAACATGCTATTTCCCTTTAAAAAAAAATATAAATTTTTCAGGGGCTTGGCGGCAAGGAATATCCCTTTGGAAATTTTGCAAAAAATATAGTAAAAAAATCCATTTTGGATTATCCGCGGGCGTTGGGGGTTGGAAAAATTATTACCAAACAAATTACAATGTGAAAACTCAAAAATTTCCGGGGGCATGGGGAAAATTTTTTAAATTTTTACGATGATTTTAACAAATTTCCCTTTTTTGTGAGCAAGGCACTAATATGACCTAAAATTTCCTAAATTTAAAAAAAAATGAGTTTTTGTGAGTGCTTTTTAAAAAAAAAACAAAAAAAAAGCAAATTTTTAATTTTGTTAGTAAAGAAAAACAACCCCCCCATTAGGAATTCTTCCTGTGTCGCGGGGGACTTTAAAACCCCTGCATGAAACGACCGAAGAACATCCATATTTAGAAAACAATTTTTGGGTCACACAATGTTTTTTCCATGCGGGAATTTAAACCCCCAAAACTCAGGCGAAATAAAAGGGCGAGGTGTCGTCCTAGCCATCCGTGCACTCAAAAATAGACCGTGCGGTAACAATGCTCAACATTATTGGGTTTTATTTATGATATAGGGGACAACGAGGAAGGGGGCACCTGATGGCAAGTAAATTAAGCAAGTTGGGGGCTCGGGGGTCCGGTAAAAAAACCGTTTTCTATGAGGCCGTTGGTTTCATGCCCATGTCCGGGTCTCCACGGTAAAAAATTTTTTGTGCCTATTATGTTCTTTAAAGGGAAATGGCATTCGTATAGGATACTCAAAGCACTTTACAATCCCCAATATAAATTACTTAAATTACTTTGAGACACCGGCCAAAAATTTTAATTATTTTCGTAAAGCGAACCGTCGTCACTAAGAGTCTTAACAATTTGCTCCTCTTCTATCGGACAGCAAAGGAAAAAAATTCATGTGGCTATTCTATTTTTATTTATTTTTAGGTGTGGACCGAGGGGTTTTTATTTTTACGTTTACTTTTAAGCGACGTATGGGTTCGGCGTTTTTTTCTTTGGGAAATGTTCCGTACGGCTTCAAACCCTTTGGGGGGGGTTTTTTCCGGACGCCCCAAATACTAAAGCTATTGATAATCCGAATTTCCAGGTTATGAATTTCCAATCTTTTTTTGGGAAAATTTTGTTGGGGAAAACAAAATATTTATAAATTGTTAAGTTTTGAAGAAAATTTTTGGTTCATATTTCCAAAAAATAATAATATTTGATTGTTTTTTTTTTGGGATCGTTTTAGAGATTGGAGCGTCCACAGTGCTGTCCAGAAGCGTATATCAACGTGTTTTAAATGTTGGTGCATGAAAACCCAACAATTTT